GGAGGTTGCTGTGAGCATGTAATGCCATGGCACTCTACCCAGGGGGACAGCTTGAGGCTCTGTCTCAAAAAAATCTTCTTATTTTATTTTTGAGACAGAGTCTCATCTCACTATGTTGCCCTCAGGAGAGTGTTTTAGTGTCACAGCTCACAGCAACCTCTAACTCTTGGGCTTAAGTGATTCCCTTGCCTCAGCCTCCTGAGTAGTTGAAACTACAGGTGCCCACCACAACGCCTGGCTATTTTTTTGTTGCAGTTGTCATTGTTGTTTAGCTGGCCCAGACTGGGTTCAAACCCACCAGCCTGGGTGTATGTGGCCGGTGCCCTACTCACTTTTTTTTTTTTTTTTTGCAGTTTTTGGCCTGGGCTGGGTTTGAACCCACCACCTCCGGCATATGGGGCCAGCGCCCTACTCCTTTGAGCCACAGGCGCCGCCCAAATCTTTTTTTTTTAATTGGCAATGTTTAATGTGGAATTTCGCAATTGTTAAGTGTTGGCAACTCAAATTTAAGACAAACAAAACCATCTGTGGGCTGATAGTGCTCCCCACACAATTTCACTGCTCAGACTAGGGGTTGGGGGCCTGTCTGGACCACTGCTAGGCCACAAACCACAACACCTAATGTTGGCCAAGCCTTACCCCACTTCCTTCTCCTACAACCCTCCTGGCACCTTCACAGGACAGTCATGACTCCTGATTTACAGATAGAGCAACTGAAGCTGAGAGAGACAAAGAAAATTGCCCAAGGTCACTTGAGGTGGTGAGGGGGAAGATCTGGGATTGAGAGTGGGATGCAGCTGACCACAAACCCTGTGTTCAGACTGACCCCCTCCAGGAGCCTCAGCATGGCCCCAGGTTCTCTCCTCCCTCCACTCCGCAGATGTGCTTTGGCTCTAACCCTTCATAGGGCACCACAGCTGGAACTTCTGCCTGGGGTGTACCCAGCAGCTATTTGCACCATCACTGAAATCACAGTTCTCTAGAGGGAAGGGATGTTGTGTTAAAAGGAGGGGATAGAGGGTGGCGCCTGTGGCTCAGTGGTTAGGGCATGGCCCCATATACCAAGGATGGTGAGTTCAAACCTGGCCCCGGCCAAACTACAACAAAAAATAGCCAGGTGTTGTGGCAGGTGCCTGTAGTCCCAGCTACTTGGGAGGCTGAGGCAAGAGAATTGCCTAAGCCCAGGAGTTGGAAGTTGCTGTGAGCTATGAGGCCACAGCACTCTACCGAGGGCGATGGAGTGAGACTCTGTCTCTAAAAAAAAAAGAAAGAAAGAAAGAAAAAGAAGGAGGAGAAAGAGCAGGCAGTTGGGGAGTCTGGGGTCTGCGCTGGCCCAGCCCTGCAGGGAATGAGGGACCCCCTGACAGCCAGAGGACTGATACCCCTTGAGGTTGGTCTGTACCTATGTCTAGTGTGTCTCGGGTTGTCCCTTGCCACGTATACCCTGCCAGCATGCTGCTGGTGTTGGCTGTCCCACCTTGGCCTCATTCTTAAAAAGCCAATTTGTGCCAGGTGAGCAGAAAAGAAAGCTGCTGACATTATCAGATCCTGGCAAGGCAGGAGCAGGCTGAGATGTTCATATTCACATTAACATTTGTGTTTCGGTATGTCCAGATCCCCTTTTGCCAAGAGCTAGGGCCACTTTGGACACATACACAGTGACCTGTTTGACCTGCAGATTGCTAGGAAACTGTTTGGAAGCCACATGCCCTTCTGTGGTGAGACACAGTGCTAAGCCTCACGGAGCCAGAAGCCCAGTTGAACAGTTTACTAGCTGTGTGGCCAGGGGCAAATGACACCTTGGGACTCTCATCTGCAAACCAGAGATAATAATAGCACCTACTGCATGGGGCTGTTGTGAGCATAATGAGGTCATACATATGCAAAGTGCTTAGAACCCCACTTGGTATGTGTGAAGTGCTCCCAGGTGGGTACTGTCATTATCTCCAGCCAGGACCAGAAAGAGCCTTCACTGAAGTCAGGATAGGTGAAGGCCTCCTGCTTTAGCACTGCCCTCTCATCTCCATGACAACCCACATCTCAGCCTGGAGTGGGGGCAGCAACCGGAGAGCTGGTAGCCAGAAACTGTCTGTACACTTTTATCTGCCCTGCTTCTCGAGGCTTCTGCCCTGGGATTTATGGCAGTCCTATACATGCTAGAGAACCCTAACTGGACCAAGGTGCTGCAACTTCTTGACTCCAAAGCCACAGACTGGGGAAAACCCTGGGATTCCTAACATCTCAGCTTCCTCCTCTAACTTGACCCCAGTCCAAAAAAACTCACGGAACCCTAGAAGGGTTAGGAACAGCCCAAGAGCCTTCACACTGTACATGAAGGGCATTTGCATTTTTTTGTGTGAATTTGTATTTTTTGTCCAAGGTGGCCCTAACTCTAACATTTAAAAATCAGGAAACTAGGCTTGGCACCTGTAGTTCTGTGGTTAGGGCACCAGCCATGGGTTCAAACTGGGCCCGGCCTTGGTTTGAACAACAATGATGACAACAACAAAATAGCCCAGTGTTGTGGTGGGCAGCTGTAGTCCCAGCTACTTGGAAGGCTGAGGCAAGAGAATCGCTTAAGCGCAAGAGTTTGAAGTTGCTGTGAGCTGTGACACCATACCACTCTACTGAGGGCAACTTAGTGAGACTCTGTCTCCAAAAAAAAAAAATAAATCAGGAAACTTGGGTGGGCAGGGTATCTCATGTCTATAATCCTAGCACTCTGGGAGGCCAAGGTGGGTGGATTGCTAGAGCTCAGGTATTTGAGACTAGCCTGAGCAAGAGCAAGACCCAATCTCTACTAAAATTAGGAAAAAAAAATAGTGGGACATTGTGGCAGGTGCCTGTAGTCCCAGCTGCTTGGGAGACTGAGACAAGAGGATCGCTCAAAACTCTGGAGTTTGAGGTTGCTGTGAGCTATGATGCCAGCACTCTACCCAGGGAGATAGAATTTAAATAATTAAATTAAATTAAATTAAAAATCAGGAAACTTGGCCAGGCATGGTGGCTCATGCCTATAGTCCTAGCACTCTGGGAGTCAAACGCAGGATTGTTGAGCTCAAGAGTTTCAGATCAGCCTGAACAAGAGCCTGTCTCTACTAAAAATAGAAAAATTAGCTGGGCACCTGTTGTCCTAGCTACTAGAGAGGCTGAGGCAGGAGGATCACTTGAGCTCAGGAGTGTGAGGTTGCTGTAAGCTGTGATGCCATGGCAGTCTAGCCCAGGCAGCAGGGTTAGACTGTCTCAAATAAATAAATAAAGTCAGGAAACTGCTTATTATAAAAAGCCAGGTATCTCGCTTTTCTTTAAATAGCCAGAAGACCCAGGAATGACTGGTTGGCATTCCTGCTGGAACAGAAAAGCAGCTGCCCTTGGGCCAGGCCAGGGCCATCAGTTCTTGCTGGAGCCCCACCTTCTAGTACCAGCCCAACCTCTCTGATGTTGGAGGGAATCCAAAGGCTGGGGCCTGGGCTACACTTGCCCTGTGCCTCCTGTGGTGAGATCAGTACAGCTTACCTCCGTCTCCCTTTTCCAGAACTGCCCCTACCCACCCATTTAGAACACATCTGTGAGATAGTAATGATAAAACAAGGAGCCATTGTCAGGGTTCAAGTGGTGGCTTGTCTGAACTCCCAGACCTTTCTAGAGCAACTTAGCACTCAGTGGCTCATAAAACCTGGGGGTGGAGGGTTGGGGGGGAATCATGCCAAGCAGTGAGCGGACTGATAATAGAATACTGCAGAAGGTAGCCTCTCCTTACCAACTGAAATGCAGCACTGAAGGAGGCTCGTGAGCAAACGGTGCGGCCCGCTCTCGTGAGTCACTGGGAGCTGTTACCGGTCAGCCTGTTGTTGGGTAGAAGTGAGGTAGGGTTGCCAGATTTGGCAAATACAAATACAGAACACCTAGTCATATTGAAATTGCAGATGAACCATGGATAATTTTTTAGTATAAGTACATCCCATGCGATATTTGAGACATGTACTAAAAACTTACCTGAAATTCAAGTGCCTCTGGGCATCCTGTGTTTTATCCGACAACCCTGGAATGAGGTCTTATGGCTTTAAACACGATTTTTTAACATGCTCTTTAATTTGATTATTTAATTTTCTTTTTAAATATTTTTATTATTTTTTATTTTTGAGATAGTCTTACTTTGTTTCCCCTGGTAGAGTGCTATGGCATCATAGCTCACAGCAACCTCAAACTCCTAGGCTTAAGCTATCCTCTTGCCTCAGCCTCCCAAGTACCACAACACCCAGCTTTTTTTTTTTTTTAAGAGATGGATTCTTACTCTTGCTCAGGCCGATCTCAAACTCCTGAGCTCAAACATTCTGCCCACCTTGACCTCCCAGGGGCTAGGATTACCAGCGTGAAAACACCTACCTTTCATTGGGCTCCCCATGTACCTGTGTGTGAGCTGCAGGTGACAGGCACACAGGTGTCAAGGAGGCCAGGCTGCACGTTAGGATTGGTGACCCTCTGCAGCCCTCCTGCTGACTCTCTTTTCTCTTCTAGTTGCACCACTGCAGCAGGCAGCATGGCCGTGGACGTGGCAGAATACCACCTGAGCGGTGAGTCCCCAAGGCAGGCCCCTCCCTAGGTCACACCTGCAGGCTATCCCATGGGACCTTTGCATCAGTCTGGAATGGGAGGTGTCAGAGGGACATGAGTAACAGCCTGTTTTGCTGTAAGGACAGTCAGCAACTTGCCCAAGGTCATACACCATTGGACCCATCCGAGGTTCCTGCATCTTTCCATGCAAGCAGTTCCTTCCTGTAATAATGATTATCTCTGTTTGATTTGAGGGGATTCCCCCCTTGTCCTGCTATTCCCTGAGAATGACCCTATCCCCAGGATCTATTCTCCTGGGTCCCTTCATGGAGACTGTTAAGTAGCCAAGGGAAGGAGACCCAGAGAAGGTGTTGTCAGATATATGGAACATTAAACCCAGGAGATCACCCAGTCTAGGAATGCAGCCCCCACCTTTCCACCCTGGGCCCCACCGTCACAGCTACTTAGTCACAGCACTGAGCTGCGAGGTACCCTAGACTCTAGTGGGTGGTGTCAGAGCTGAAATATGCTCACCATCTTTTTTCCGTGTGTTCTCCTCCCCATCTTCAAATGGGAAAAGTGTGGTTCAGCAAGGGAGAAGGACAATGAGTAAGAAACAGGGTCAAGACATGAATTTGGGTATCCTAACTCCCAGGCCAGCTCCTGTCACTCCAGCTCCTGCCCTAATACAGGCCCCAGCCAGGGATTCTCACCATCTATCCATAGGCTCACAGGTCTCAGCCAAGACCCTACATGGCCTTGGGCAAAACCCCTCTGAGCCTCTACTTATCTGTAAAATGGGGACAGTGGAACCTGTGTCAGGGCCGTAGGAAGACTCAGAGAGCTAAAGTAATATGAAGTGCCCACCAGCGCGGCATAAGCACAACCTTCCCAATCAGGCCTCTGCCTGGCCAGGTCCTTGGATCTGCTGCGCGGGTCACCCACACAGGCCTGGCGCCCCGCAGCTTCCTCATCTGTACGGTTGGGATAAGAACAGAACCTTCCTCACAGGATCATTCTGAGAACTCAGTGGGTGCATATGTGTACAGTGCTTGGGACTAGACCTGGCAAATAAATCACACATGGGAAGTGTGTTACTGAGGGGAGCTGTTACTCCTCCCACTCTTCCTCTTCCCCCTTCCTCCTCACTTCCTGCATCACCATAACAGTACTCCATTACATCAACAAATAAGTGAGTATTAGTTGGTATTTCATGTCACCCTCCTGGTGTTTTTCCTTTTGCACCCTCAGCCCCACTCCCCTTTTCTGCCAAACACAGCATAGATGCCTGTCCCTCAGCATCCCAGATCCTCACGTGCAAGAGCCTGGCTCTGCTTTGCCACCTCAGGCCTCTGTTCCTGGCCCCCAGGACAGGGAGTTCACACTGTTGTGTGTGCACAGCACTGTCATGTCCTATGAACGGTGTGCATGGTACTCTAGTGTGAACCACTGAATCCTAGATCTGCGCAGCCCCAGACTCCCAGACTGTCCCCAGACTCCCAGAATGCCCCCACCCCAGCCCTTGTCAGACGCTGGGTGCAGGACCCTCTGTATTCAGGACAAATGGCAGTACTTCCACCCTCACTACCTGCTCTCTCCCACCCCTGGCCTGCCCAACCCTCATTCTTGTGCTATGTGATCTGTACATCAAAATCTGTGCTTACACCGTGTTGGGGATTGTTCTTTTCTCTCTCTCAATGCTGGAAATGCTTCTCTGCATTGCCACAGTGCCATCCTAATGACCTCAATAGTCATTCTTGAAGGCCAGTGACATTTTCTCCTGAGATAGTGCCACCAACCCCCGCCAGCCCCCTCAGTGGGACCTCCAGGCTGTTTCCAGATTTCTGCTGTTATAAATACAGCCTTGATGAATCATGCCAGACATAAAATTTGATGCAACTTGTTGGGACTTTCCCCTTGGAATAAATCCCCCAGAGTGGGACCACAGGGTGGGGGAGATGTTGTCATTGTGTCTTCATTTTCCAGATCAGGAAATTGAAGCCCAGAGAGGCTGGGTGACTTACCTATACTCAGGCTCTGCCATTTCTTACCTCTGAAAAATGGCCTTAAGTAGAGAGATGGATGTGCCCTTTAGCCTCTCTCAGCCTCATTTTTCCTCTTCTACAAAGTAAAGTCAGGGCATCAGAGGGGGCTCAGGGCAAGATGGCTGTCAGGTTGAAGGCTGAGCCTGTGAGTTAATGTTGTAGACTCTGCTTAGAGACCGCTGGGCTCAGAAGAGAGCAGGGCAGGCTGAGCCTCCCCTGCCAGAGGGGCTGCCATGGTATGCGATGCCTCCCCAGTGGTCAGGAACCCCTCCAGCCCTAAGTGCCTCCTCCTGCTCTGCCCTGGGCACTCTGTCTACTCTAGGCGTTTTTTTAAAGACAGTCTTGTTTTGTCGCCCTCGGTAGAGTGCCGTGGTGTCACAGCTCATGAAACCTCCAACTCCTGGGCTTAGGTGATTCCCTTGCCTCAGCCTCCTGAGTAGCTGGAACTACAGGTACCTGCCACAACACCAGGCTATTTTTTGTTGCAGTTTGGCCAGGGCTGGGTTTGAACCCACCACCCTTGTTATATGGGGCCGGCGCCCACTCACTGAGCCACAGGTGCCGCCCTACTCTAGGCTTTTTATACCTGCATTCTTCTTGCCCTAGAATCCCAGGCCCTATTGCCTTGGCCTAGCACCCTTCTGACTCCTCCTATCTCAGCTTACATGTGCCTCCTCCGGGAAGCCTTCCTGGGCTGTTCCCATCATGACTCCTAGCACCCTGTTTTGTCCATTTCATTTTTACTCCCACCCCACCCCCCAGATGTGGAGAACTGGGTGGCCTCAAGGTCGCACATGGCAGTCCAAATCCCCAAGTGCAGCCCTTTGATCAAATCCACACTTCACAGAACAAATTCCTTTTTTTTTTTTTTTTTTGAGACAGAGTCTCACTTTCTTGCCCTGGGTAGAATGCCATGGCATCATACCTCACAGCAACCTCAAACTCTTGGGCTCAAGTGATCCTCTTGCCTCAGCCTCCCAAGTAGCTAGGACTGTAGGCACCCACTACAACATCTGGCTATTTTTAGAGACTTTTGTCTCACTTTTGCTCAGGCTAGTCTCAAACTCTTCAACTCAAGCAATTCACCCGCCTTGGCCTCCCAGAATGGTAAGATTACAGGCATGAGCCACCATACCTGGCTAAATCCCTTTATTAAGAAGGGTCAGTCAACGGGCTGAACTCAAAGATCTAGAAGCCACTGTGGCCCCAAAGCCACAGGTTCCACACTCTCAGCTACTTAAGGATGAGGGTGCTAACAGGGTGCTGGCATAGAGTGGGTGCTCAGTGGATAAATCTCCACCCCTGAGATGTGCTCCCCACCTCTCTCCACCTTGCTGCGCTGGGTCAAGGCCAGCTGGGGTGCTGGTTACCTGCTTACTGTGACGTCTAGCTACCAGAGTTGGTCTCCCAGTGCCATCCCTTCCTGGCTCTGCAACCTTAGGTGAGTCCTTTAGCCTTTCTGTGCCTCAGTTTGCCCATCTGAGTTGAGGTAGAGGTAATACTGAGAAGGGTTTAGGGAACTGTATTTACCAGCAGTGTGACCTTCTGCAAGACGAACCTGGCTCTGCTTTGGGAGAGTCGAGTCAGATCTCCAAGTAGAGTGACACGTGACCTTTTAACATGTGTGGTCCTGCCACCGGCAAGGTACTGTGCTGGGTGAGGACTCCCCACCACCATTGAGGGGGTAGTTATAGTAATTACCATGTTTGGGGACCATGGGCTCAGATGAGTAGAGAAAAAGCATTCAAGCAACTGGAGCGTCACCCAGCCCTGCACATCCTATAGCCTGTCTCTTCTGGCTGAATCATTTGTCTGTTTGTTTTACTGAGAGATAAAATTCACATACTGAATAATTCAACCATGTGAAGTGTCCAGTTTAGTGGGTTTTAGTATATTGTGCAACCAGCAGCATAATTTTTTTTTTTTTTGCAATTTTTGGCTGGGGCTGGGTTTGAACCCACCACCTCCAGCATATGCGGCCGGCGCCCTATTCTTTGAGCCACAGGTGCCACCCCAGCAGCACAATTTTTGGAATGTTTTCCTCACCCCCAAAAAGAAACCCTGACCCCTCCAACTCCCCCAGCCTCTGCTAATGACTGACTGTGCTCCTACATTTGTATAGATTCTATCTGTCCCTGTTCTGGACATTCCATATACAGGTTCAGAATCTCGTGTCCCAAAAATCTGAAATCTGAAATGCTCCAAAATCTGAAACTTTTTAAGCCCTGACATGACACTCAAAGGAAGTATTCATTGGAGAATTTTGGATTTAAGATTTTAGGTTAAGGGCCAGGTGACGTGAGGATCACGCCTGTAATCCTGGCACTCTGAGAGGCCAAAGCAGGTGGATTGCCGTGAGCTCACAGGTTCAAGACCAACCTGAGCAAGAGTGAGACCCTGTCTCTAAAAAAAATAGCCAAGCTCTGCGCCTGTAGCTCAGCAGCTAGGGCACCAGCCATATACACCAGACGGAGCTGGCAGTTTTGAACCTAGCCCAGGGCTGCCAAACAACAGTGACAACTACAACCAAAAAAAAAAAAAAATAGCCAGGCATTGTGG